TATTAAAAAACTTAAAAAAAAAAAAAAAAAACAGAGCAGAGAAAAATCGATCTATGCAACCAAAGATTTCTTCTTCGATCGGATTCCGTCGACTGTTTCCATTCTCCGTCGCCGTTGTTGTTGATATCAGATTCACCTTATGAGCTGGTTCGACAAGCTGCGTTGTTCCTCTAATCACAGCCGCTTCATTGCCGGCCTCTTGATCTTCATTCTCTATCATTCTTTTCAGTTAGTTTCCAATTTCCTGACTCCTATACACCCGTAATCCTGTTTTTTCCCTCCGATCTGTTTCGTCAAAAATCATTTGCTTTTCTGTGATTTCTCCGTTGATGGATTCCGACGACTCATTCTCCAACCATCTACTCAATGGTTAGTATAATCCTTCAAAAATTTCTTATGTTTAAGACTCTTGTAGTTGCATTGCTAGAATTTTTATTTTTTTTCTCTTTAATTTTATCGTAAACTCATATATATATTTTTTTATTTAAGATGAAATTATATGATATTTCTGTCTAAAAATATTGTGCATTTCCTTATTTTTGATTATCTGATAATCAGGAACTGTCACCTCACTGATCGAGAGACAGAACAGTTCGATTCCTTCTGTTATTGTGATCGGCGGTGGAATTTCAGGGCTTGCTGCCGCAAGAATTCTTCATGATGCATCTTTTAAGGTAATAGAGTGTATTTTGCTAATCTGGATTTCATTCTCCCTAATTTTTTGATGAATGGTTTTTTTTTTTTATTGGCTTTTTGATGAATGATAATGATTGTTTTATTTAGGTTATACTGCTTGAATCACGAGATAGACTTGGTGGTCGAATCCACACAGACTACTCTTTTGGTTGCCCTGTGGATATGGGAGCTTCTTGGTAAGTGAATGAAATGGTTGTATCTTATCATTTATATGCTCTGTTTATTCAAAGAAGCAATATGAAATAGCTCGGAATATATGTTTATTGATTTTCTCTTCATTGTTACTCAGGCTACATGGTGTTTGTAATGAGAATCCCCTGGCTCCGCTAATACGTTCTCTAGGACTTACCTTGTACCGTACTAGTGGTGACAATTCTGTGTTGTATGACCATGATCTGGAAAGGTAAGCTTTTCTAGGCTTTCATTTCTACAGTGTTTTGGCATGGTATGGAAAATTTCCTTAGGATGAAAGTTATTCAACAATTCTAACAGAATGATCTCTCAGTTATATGCTCTTTGATATGGCTGGCCATAAAGTTCCACAGCAGATTGTCATTGAAGTTGGGGATGTCTTCAAGAGGATTCTCAAAGAGGTAGGTATGCTTTTTTTTGATAATTTTATGGTTTTTTTTTTTTCTTATTACCATGCTTTCTAGAGTTGCGAGCAACATGTTTATTCCTTTTCTAATGCTTGCAGACAGAAAAGGTTAGGGATGAACATTGTAATGACATGTCTGTTCTTCAAGCGGTATCAATCGTTTTAGATAGACATCCTGAATTAAGGTATTGAAGACTAGTATCTTGTATACATTTCATTGGATACTTTGTTTCCATCTGATTATAATCAAAATATCATTTACGTATTGCCATCTTATATAGACAAGAAGGACTGGCCCATGAAGTGCTGCAGTGGTACATATGCAGAATGGAAGCTTGGTTTGCTGTAGATGCAGATATGATATCCCTGAAATGCTGGGATCAGGCAAGTGCTTAATCATCTAGTGGTGGCCTGAATTATTGTTTGATTCTGTTCTATGTAATAAGTTTTTGATTTTTAATGTTATATTGTTCTTTTAAAGTGGTATTTCTCTTGCTTTATTTATTTATTTTTTGGTTGCTTCCAGAAAATGGCATGGTGATGCCTTTTTAATTCTGGATACTCTATTTTCAAGTTCAAATCAGACCATTTCTTAACTTGGAATAAACCCTATGTATTTTTTTATGATAGAAGATTCTGATATTGAACTATTATCAGCTTTAATCCACCATGAACCTTTATAATATGCTGTAAAACTAAAAGGTCACTTGATTGAGTGTGGTTTCTGATGGACAGGAGCATGTTCTTTCTGGCGGTCATGGACTTATGGTGCAAGGTTATGGCCCTGTAATACAGGCTCTAGCTAAAGATATTGATATCCGCTTGAATAATAGGTATACCTTTTCAGTCCATATATTGACTAACTTGAATTGCATCGGCATATTTCTTGACGTCTTATCGAGCCTTTTTGTTTTGTTTATAATGCCCCAAACCGTTGAGAGCAATTGCATTTGCAGTAACATGTAACTTTCATTCCACAGATAGTAATTTTCATTTTGTATTGAAAAGATTCTGAATTCTCTATCTCATCTAGAAATAGGAGTGGTTTCTTCGTAAGGAGATTCTTTTACAGTGTAAATTAGTCAACAAAGTCCTGATTCTTTTGTTGCTCTTAATGGGTAGGGTTGCGAGAATATCCAATGGATGTAATAAGGTGATGGTTACAGTTCAGGATGGAATGACCTTTGTTGCTGATGCTGCTATTATAACAGTACCCCTTGGAATTCTTAAAGCAAATTTAATTCAGTTTGAGCCAAAATTGCCTGAGTGGAAGGTTTCTGCAATTTCAGATATTGGTGTGGGCAGCGAAAACAAGATTGCCTTACGGTTTGACAGTGTCTTCTGGCCAAATGTGGAATTCTTAGGCATAGTTGCACCAACTTCTTATGCTTGCGGTTATTTTCTCAATCTTCACAAGGCAACAGGACATCCTGTCCTTGTCTACATGGCTGCTGGAAGGTTTGCTCACGATCTTGAGAAGCTATCTGATGAGTCTGCTGTAAATTTTGTGATGTTGCAGCTAAAGAGAATGTTTCCTGATGCAACCAAACCGGTAATTTATGGTTTTCAATTATCTTATTTTTTTGTCAACTTCAAATTTCTAACTTTGAGTACTAAACAAGTTGTTACTATTTAGCGTTTGATTTTGGATCTTTTGGCAGTAACTGAGCTTCCATTTTCATTCTATACATGGATAGGATAGTTAGAAAGGTTGAACAATAGGAAGATAACTATGTTTGTCTTGTGGAGTATGGGCACTGAACTGAATTATTAAAGCTTAGTTCAAGGTTTTTATGATCCACGTCTAATGTGTTATATTTGTCACCTTTGTCAGTTATGTAATATTTTCTTTTAGCCTTGTCATGTCCCTGTAAAGATGCTCTATACTAATCTTAGTTTGCCCTCTCTGAATCAGGTTCAATATCTTGTATCACACTGGGGAACGGACCCGAACTCTCTTGGTTGCTACTCGTATGACCCAGTTGGTATGCCTGAAGACTTGTATGAAAGGCTTCGAGCTCCCTTAGGTAATCTATTTTTCGGAGGGGAAGCTCTTAGCATGGAGAATCAGGGATCTGTTCATGGAGCTTACTCTGCTGGAGTTATCGCTGCTGAAAACTGTCAGAGGCATCTATTACAGAGGCTAGGTAACTTGGTGAAGCTCCCACCACTCTCTTTCAGGCAAGGAATTTTAGAATCTACATTTCCCCTTCAAATCTCCAGGATGTAAACGCTTATCATGGGATAGTTATGATGGATTGGAGGGTAATAAGTCTACCATGACTGATCTTCTGATCTAAATAAGCATCACCTCCTACGAGTGCTAGTCTTTTATTTATTTATTTTTGGATGGAACCATGGATGCTAGTTAGTTTATGAAGAAGCGTTTTTATTATGAACTGGAGAAGAAAATGGTAATCTTGAACCAACATTTCTCTTATCAGCATGAATTTTATATAATTTAATAGCATGGAATAATTACATTGCTCTTTTTTTTTTTCTTTTTTTTTGGGGTCGTTTCAGATTATAAGATTCTGGTTTGTGATATTACAAAGAATTTTTGGGTGAAGAATGCTCAGTCATGTTGTGTGTGGCTGCACGATGGATCATTAGGGTGAATTTTTCCTAGGTTGGTTAGATAAGCCTGATGGTACAATTACATTGACATGAAAAATGATGACTAGGGAATAAGGATCCCTTGCTCATATGGCAACTTTGATGGCAAATATGCCTTTCAAAGATGTTTTGAATAATGTGGCTGCTTTTCAGGTTTTGAATGCCATTAAATTGCACACATCTCATGATTTGGTCATTATTCTATCTTTTTTAATATTTTAAAAATATACTGTATAAAATATTAGCTAATATAAATTAAATATATTTTATATATTTTTGAGATATTAAAAAGACTAACAATCCTCCGGCCACCATCCAAAGGAAGCCTTGGCATGGCAGTCTGTCTTTTGCACTCTGATATGATCCAAAAAGACTGCTAGCTAGTTATGTCTGCTTAGAACATGAGTGGAATACGTGGGGAAAGGCTATTCGAATCTAAAATGTGGCCAGAAACACTAGTAGCAGCCAATATATCAAATACAAGAATTTATAACAAAATCCATGCAAAAATAAACAATCTTTGTAAACTGAGGTCTTCATTTCTATTCTAAATGGAAAATTGAACGTAAGCAGACACATCAAGCTAACACAAAGCAAACTCATAGATACCTAGTATATTCTTTCTTCACCATCCATATCACCACCTCACCAAGAAGAGCAATAGCAATAACAATAACAATATATGATTCCACCAACCCTCTTACCAACCATTAATATTATAAATGACCATAACGATTAAAATAAATGTTCAGTGCATGCTCAATTGACAATTTACAATTCCATCGAAAAGGGAAAAGTCAGTCAATGACACCCGCAGCATTATATGGTAATTATTAGTGTAGGTAAGTAGGTTAGAACTTAGACGCATAAGTTGACAAAAGCATAATAAGATCAACAGTGGACCGATCAAAAAATTAAAAAAAAATCAACAATGGGTGATAAAAATAATAAATTGTGAACACACAATCCAAACTAATAAGACTAATATAAAAGAAAAAAAGATGTTATGCATCACATGAATGCATTTCATTTATCATCTCATCCAACCAAAAAATCATTCATCATTCATCACCAAAAGTGACGCTAAAACTAGCAAACAAGTAACGAGAATCTTGAACACGGAATGCATGGGCCAAGGATTTCAGTTGTCCTATAGAAGGAAAAGAGAAACACAAGGGATGGTTCAATTGTTTCTGCACGTCAACAATTGAAATGAAACACTAGACCACAAAATCCTTTGTAAAATATTTTCAGAATCAACTAGGTAAAAAATTTCACAAAAATGTAAAAGCACTACAAAGTAGTGTAGCCATAGATGATAAATAAAACATAACATCCTAATCAGAATTTCAAAACCCATGAAATGCACATAAAAATGCTTCAAAGTCTTCAATAGATGTTAGGCTAATTCACATTTAACAATTTGCTTCATATCTCAAATTCTAATTGCTTCTTTTCTGTAGCAAAAGATTACAGGAGGAACAATATTAAAAAGGGAAAGGGGTGACTACAGGCATATGAATTGTCCTACATGACATAGAATCCTGAATAAAACTACATGACAGAGAATCCTGAATAAAATTCTATAACCCAAGTCAATAAACTACCAACAATTAGATTTAGCATTGTGTCAAAATGCCACAATATTACCCTGCAATTTCAATAAACAAACGGTGGAATCTGTGTGGAAGATGTTAAACATAAGATGCAAAGGCTAAAGAGAACAACTAACTTAGGAACATAATAATCCAAAGCATAAGATTCAGATAACAATATGACTCAGTTAAAAGACATAACTTTAGACATACAATCCACAAATTTATCACTGAGTTAAAACGAAAACAATTAACAGAACACAGCCACAGAGTTCACACAAATATGTATATCCCAAATTGGACAAGAATTGATCAATTACTTAGATAACTTATCAAGCTGCTTCTTTCTCGGCAGGAGCAGGGGCAGCATCAGCAGGAATCTTGACGTATCCAATCTTCTTAGGGCTGAATTGGTCATCGCTATCACTCTCATCATCGAAGGAATTGCTGTAATCGGAGCGAGCAGAGAAGAGGCTCCAGACCAAGTACATGGTGGCGGCAGTGAGGGCGCCGCAGCCAACACCGAAAAGCAGAGCGACGACGACACTGAGAATGTCCTTGGTGCGATCGCGGAGAGAGTTGAAATCGTAAGAAAGCTTGGGGGGACGTTGGATTTGGGGTTCCTCGAGGCGAGAGGGGAAGATGATGAGATCGGATGGTCGGGGGTTGAACTGGCGGATTTCGGCGAAGACGGTGACGAATCCGGCGGAGGTAGACTGTTCGTTAGGGTTTGGGAAGGTGAAAGAATAGGACGAAACGAGGAAAGTCTTGCAGGGTCTGGCGGAGGCAGAGATCGAGAGGACGCCGAGGAGGATTGCGAGGAGCAAGGGAGAAGCGGAGAACGCCATTAACGCTGAATATTCCTAATTCTCTGGTGGATGGATGAGAAT